ATCAACTTTTAGTAACTGGACCTTCTGGAAGGTATTATTTGGTGACAGATGATGACGGTATGAGAACTTTGCAGTACTTATTCAGTAAGAAGTTTAGAGTGATAAATTTCTTTGCTGTAAATTCTTCCGATTTGAGTATTTTTGCTCAAAACATCACATATCATACTGAGACATATACTGTGGATGTTGATGTAGCTTCTGACCAAGAAAGTAGTTCTAGTGAATTCGACGAATCAGATTCTAATGATTATAATGAGGAAGGACTTGAAGTCTTTAGCCAAGAAAAAAGAAGGGGTGTGACTGATACTTTGGAGAATTATAAAGTTTTGGAGAAAGGGCAAACATTTAAGGATATCCCGGAAGCTAAAAAAGGTAATAAGCTTCTATGCAATGGCCAATCGTTATGGACTAAGGTGAAGAAAACCGATACAACTAGGGCCGGGTATAAATGTGTTGAAGGTTGCCCCTTCACAGTTTTAGTATCAAAGGATAAGAAAAGTAGTACTTGTTCCATCAAAACATTGAATTCAGTACATACATGTGATTCTACTTATAAAATTCTGAGGGCTAATGCTAACACACTAGCACATTTATTCAAGAGAAAAGTTCAATATAATCCTCAATTTAAGGTAAAAGACATGCGTGAAGAGTTAGAGACTATTTTTAACATGAATGTGTCTACATCTAAGGTTAAAAGGGCTAAGAGGCTGGCTCTTGAAAAGCTAGAAGGGAGTTTTCTTGATGACTATAATAAACTTGAAGCACATGGACAAGAACTTAGAACTTCTAATCCGGGAAGTGATGTTGTTATCAATATATCAAAAGAAGCGCTTTTACAAGGAAAGAGGAAGTTCTTAAGGATGTATATTTGTTTCAAAGCATTGAAGGATGGATGGAAAAGTGGTTTGAGACCACTTATTGGGCTGGATGGTACTTTTTTGAAGGGAAGATATAAGGGGCAACTATTAGTTGCTACGGGTCATGATTATATGAACCATTTTTATCCTATTGCATGTGCAGTGGTGGATAAGGAGACAGGCAGGACATGGGAATGGTTTTTGGAGCTTTTGAAGTGTTCTTTGAATCTTAAAGATGGACATGGAGTGACATTCATCTCAGATATGCAAAAGGTAAACTTACGTCTTTTCCTTATGTTTTAATTGATAATCAAAATTGTCATCCTTGAGATAAACAAATATACTGATGTTTGTTTTCAATTTTAAAACTAATAATGATGTTGGCTGTTTTTTACTTCATAGGGGTTAATTGATGCTAAGAAGAGTGTGTTTCCTGAAGCTAAGTACAAATATTGTGTAAGGCATATTGAGGCTAATTGGTGTAAAAGGTGGAGGAGTGGACAAGCCAAGAAACTTATGTGGTGGTGTGCATGGGCCACATATGTTGAAGACTTTGAAGATCAATTGAGAAAATTAGGAGACAGATGAAGAAGCTGCCAAAGACCTGCTGAAATATAAACCTCAAACTTGGTGTCGGGCATACTTTGATACTCAATGTAAAAATATCATGGTTGACAATAATTTCCCTGAGTCATTTAATGCATGGATTCTGGAAGCAAGGCATATGCCTATCATCAAAATGTTGGAAGAAATAAGGTTGAAGGTTATTAGAAGGTTGGTTTCTAATGAAGCAAAAGTTAGGAGTTGGAAGGGAGATTTCAGTCCACCGTGCATGAAGCTATACAATGTTTATAGGGCAATTGCTCATGGATGCAAGGTTGAGGTCAATGGTGACTTTGGTTACGAAGTCACAGAAGGTGATGATAGACATACAATTAATTTGAAGGATAAAAGATGCACATGTAGGGCTTGGGACTTATCGGGAATAC